ATTCCAGAGAAAGCCCTGGGAAGCCCAAGGGAGGGCGGCTGGTGGGGAGGGACGGGACAGAACGGGAGGAGCCGGCAGTGACTCAGCAGGGCAGGATAAGGATCTTCCAGCCCAGGGAGAGGTAACCCCACTCCTCTGCCAGGGGAGACGGAGTCACGGAGCCTGAGGCATGGGTTGGCCAGGGCAATGGAACATCCTGGGAGAGTGGCGGCAGGGAAAACTTCTGGCAGGCAAGGGAGGAGCTGGGCACCGGGGGGTATCCCTTCTGCCCCTGCCCGTCTCACAGGCCCATCACCCAGACATCCTTACAGGTGGGACGCTAAAGCCCGGGTAGAGCAGGGAGTGGCCAGCAGCAGAGCCCAGTTCCTCTCAGCTTCAAGGGGAGGCAGGTGGGTGCGGTGTCCTCCGGGAGGTCTGAGCTGGTCCAGGTGTGGGTGGGGGACACAGGGCAGGGTAGGGCCCTTGCTGAGGCAGGAGGCCCAGGGGCTTCCGCTGACATCATGACCAACTCAGGGTGAGGCAGGGCCTTCTGGGCTCCTGCCCACTGGAGGGAGAGGAGAAGCGCACACCCCGCCGCCTTTCCTTGCCCTCCTGCCCTCCGCGGCCCCCGGGCCTGCACGTTCACACCAGACGGTTTGCACGTGGTAGTGGAGAGGAGGCGCTCTTCCCAGCGACAGATGCAGGGTGGCGGTGGGGCGCTCCTCTGACCCGGGCAGCTGAGGCAGGGCCCCTGAGCTTACCTAGCCATGCCCACCCCTTTGCGGCCCCCAGGAAGCACAGGGATGCCCACCGTGGTCCTGGTTCTGCAGGCAGGTGCTCCTCTTAACTCCCAGCTTCATCTCGCTGCTCCTAGAATCTACAGTTCCTGCAGAGGGGGTCAAAGCACTCTTGCGGGGTGCCTCTCACTGATGCAGGAGGGCAATGTGGGGTGACAGCCCAGTGTCACTGGTAGGTGTTGGTCAGGAGAGCCCAGGTCTCTGCTTCAGGCAAATGAGGACTCTGTCCCAAGGAACACCTCAGTGTCCTGAAGAGACGAGGCAGGGCCCGGGTTAGATGCCACGAAGCCACAGGCACTGGGCAAGTCCTGCTGTTTCTGAGCTGCTCTGAGCACCCAGCCTCTTCTCCCCACCTCAGGGCCCCTCCCGGGTTCACGCCTTTGAGGTGCACTCAGAAGGGCATGGCGCTGAAGGCAAACAGTCCTGGGCTCCCGTCCTGGTCCTACTACCTGTGGGACCTTAGACAGGCGACTCCATCTTACCAAGCCTCAGTTTCCTCCTGTGTAAACTGGGGAAACAGCAGTTCCTGTTTTAGAGGGTTATCGTAAGAATGTGATGAAATTGTTCACGTAAAGCCTTAGCTTTAAGCCCGAAGGAGTGGCAAGTCACCCAGCAGGCAGGCGTGGCAGCGGGGCTAGCAGAGTCACCGCGGCAGGGCCCAGCCTCGCCTGCCTGCACTCAGGTCAGCCTCGGCCCCCTTGACCCCCTCGACCCCACAGCCCCTGAGGGCCCCTCTCTGTGTCCCTGGCACTTGGCATGGAGCAGGGACTCTGGGAATGTTTGGTGAGCAAAGGAATGAATTAACGGGCATCCGTGCTCACCTCTGCGGGCTTCTCTACCACCACACTGCTGCTCACCCATCAGAAGAGATCAGGCCAGAAGCCTCCTGGGTTCAGGAATCTGGGACACCCGGGGGCCAGGGCCCATACAAGGTCAGTTCTTCAGTTGCCTGGGACAGGGTTGGGGCATCTAGAGAGCCTTCTCTTAGGGGGGCAGTTTGGGGGGCAAGGTGGGAGGGAGAGGTGGGAACCTAGCCTATCCATAGGGTCACATTTCTACCCCAAAGCTCTACCTTCCCCCACAGCTTCCCTTCTCTCACCGTCCTCTGATCTCAGACTGTTTAATGAGTGTCCTTGACACAAGATTGAAATCCTTGAAGGCAGGAGTGGGTTTCCCTCCCCCGCTGTCCTTTATAGGACCGAGAGCACCCAGCAGGGGCTCCGGAAAGGCCTGCACAACACACCAAGGATCCGGAGCTGGGTTGGGGGGGGGTTCTCCTCTAACCTCCGCCCTGCCCCCACCAGCAACCCTAGATTGTCCAAGCAGGGAGAGCCACAGAGGAGCAGGAATCTTCCTGAGGTCCCCAGCTGGAAATGAGAGGGCAGCCACCTGTGCCCTGCCACCCACAGGAACCCTGTAGGTGTTATTCCAGTCCTCCTCTCCTTCCTTCCTTCTCCCCTCAATTCCAACAGCCCACTCCCACTTGCGATTTGGCAGAATAAAGGCGCAGTCTTTACTCCGGCCCCCACCCCACCCCACCCCTACCGGCAGCTCCTGGCCTGCTGCCTTTGCCCAGACATGGCAGAGGGGCACGGGCAGCTTGGAGATGCAGTTGATTTTCCCTTTGGCAGTAGGGAAGAGGGGGAGGGGAGAAGGTGCCCCCCACCCCGCCCCATGAGGGGAGAGGGCAGGGACACAAGTCCAGACAAGAGGCAGAGGCAGAATACAGCTTCCCCAGCTTGTAGGGTCACAGCATCAAGCCCAGGGGCGGCATGTAAAGCCAATCACCCCTGTACCCACCTGGCCTGGTCCTCATTTCAGAGTTGCAGCCCCCCAACCCCGCCCCCCACAGTTCCTGCAAACCTGCAGACCAATGCTTTCTAGACTCTTGAGGTAAACTTTGTGGAGGGCAACATGGTAAGTTTCTCTCCAACTGCAGAGTCTGTCCCTCTTCCTCCTCGGGTGCCTGCCTCCTTCCCCCGCCCCCCCCCCAACCCATTTATTTGCCTTTGTGTCTCCTCTTTCCTGCCCTGTCCCTTCTCTTCTCCCCTCTGCATCCCTCAGCCCCCACCCTCCTCCGTCAGCGCCCCCTCCCCTTTCTCTCCTGGCCCCCTCCTCCTCTCCCACGGTGGGGCTGCTTTCTCCCTGACTCAGCAAGGTGCTTTATAAGGTGCTGAGGGGGCTCAGCCAAATCCAAACCACATTGTCTGTGCAGACACTCTCCACAAGGAGCAGGCTGCAAACCAGGGAGAGGGACTTGAGCGGCTCCCCTCTCCCTCCCCCCCTCTTCGTGGCTCCCTCCCCGACAGGGTGGCTGCTGGGGGACCTCCTGGCTGGCCTCAGTGCCAGTCACCCACTGGGCATCTGTCTTCTTGACCTTGGCATGGGCATCAAAGATTGTGGGGCTCACCGGCCAAGAATGTCATTGAAACTCCAGTGTTCAGCCTGGGGGGGGGCGGTGAATGGGAAGAGGGAGGCCCTTTTCAAAAGGGCCCTTCCAAGGCAGGTTTCATCAGAGCCGCTGCTTGTGCCCCAGAAATTCCTCTGCCCCCAACCCCAGGCCAGCGCCCCTTTCCCAGTTCTTTTTCTTGTTTAGGGGAGGAAAAAAAGAAAGAAAGAAGAGGGGAAAAAACTCAACAACAAAGTCTGTCCCACTCCAGTGAGGTAATTGAAAACAAACTTCTTCCCCACCCCCCCATTCTCCCCCCCACCCCAGTTCTCAAAGTGCAGAAAAGGGAAGAGCTGCCCTGGGAACCAGGCTGCCTGCTCTGACCTGCAGGCTGGAGGGGCTGTGGCAGGGCTGGCGGGGCGTCCGCCTTTCTCTGGGGGCACCAGGGCAGGAGTGGGGAGCATGGGCTCTGATGCTATTCCAGAGAGAGGAATCACCTTCCAGGTCTGGCCCACCATCGCCTCTATCCCTTGCAACAACAAATAACAACAAAAGCAACTAATTACCAAATGATTTTATTGCCGGTCTGGTTCTAAAGCTCTCAAGCCGGGGAGATCAAATGACTGCACGACCCCAGATGAAAGCTGTTTTCTCTGCGCTCTTCCTAGCAGTCCTCTGTAGCCAGCGGAAGACCCTCCAGGGAGGGTCTAGGCTTCTGGGACCCCTGGGTATCCCGCTCAGTAAGTCCCAACACAGGCCCCAGGGAAGGAAGAGGAGGGAGAGCACTCCACAGCCAAACCACCCCTACCCCACCACCGGAAAAAACCAACAGCCTAAAACCGTAAAGGCAGGAGGAAGCCAAATATCTTTATGGGGAAGCATTTCACAAATGGGGTCTCTCCATCGCCTTGAATTAGAGCATTCTTGATGAGTCACCCATGAAGTCCTGGTGTTGAAACTGGTCCGGGTGCCTCGTGCTGATTAATAAATTACAAATCCCCCACCCATGTGCACTCTCCTGGCCACTGGGAAGAAGAATGAAGAGCCTTGTGAAGTTGAGGGACGAGCCCTCAGCCAAGCGCCCTCTCCTTTTCTCCGAGCCGGGCAGTGGGCCTGTGGTGCCCTCGTCCTCCCCCACAGGGGGCATTGTGAACCGGTTAGTCACCTGCCCCGGGAGCGCCTCACTTAGCCCCAGCTTTTGGAAATGGGACAGGCCCGGGGACAATAGGCAAGGGGGGCGGTCAGCCCAGACAAAGGGCAGCAGGAAAAACACCATCACTTGCTTGGAGGCCAGCTCGCTGGCATTTGGGAGAATGTGTCATTGCATTTACTGGGTGTGTGTGTGGAGGGGGGTTAGAGATGAGAAGGCAGAGGTAGGGCGAGAGTGGGACCCACGCCGGCCAGGGAGCAGCACCCTAGGCCGACACCGAGGGCGAGGAAAAGGAGCGGGCGTCTCCCTCCCGGGGCCCTCGGAGTTTGCAGACGGACTGATGCCCTCCCCACCTCCTCCCCCAGGAGGCCCAGGGTGGTACCACCGCAGCCTCGCCTCACCTCACCCCCCCTCGGTGTAGTGGGAGGGAGAGGAGCCCCAGAAGCCCTCCCTTCCCTCCTCCCCCCACCCCAGGGAGGGCCGCTACAATTTGTGGTTACAGCTTTACACGTCAGAAAAAAAAAAAAAGTTTGCAGAATGTCCCACACTGAAAAAAAAAAAATCCGAAACCGAGCGAAAAAAACCTGCGAGTGGGCCTGGCGGATGGGATTATTAAAGCTTCGCCGGAGCCGCGGCTCGCCCTCCCACTCCGCCAGCCTCCGGGAGAGGAGCCTCGCCCGGCCGGCCCGGCCCCGGCCCCATGGACCTCCGAGCAGGTAGGAGCCGGGCGTCCGAGGCCCCGGCCCCCGCCCAGCAGCCTCGAGATCCGGTTCCGTCCTTCCCCCGGGAGCCCCGAGCCGGGGAGCCGGGAGCTGCCCCGCCAGCAAGGCTCGGGCCGGGGGAGGCACGGCTGGGCGCCCTCGAGAGCGGCCCGGCGGGTACGGCATTCCTGGAGTCCGCTCGGCGGGGCCAGGAGGTCGCAGGGAGCGCGGCGGGGAGTCCCGGCGACCCGCAGACCTGGGGAGCCGGCCACCTGGAGCCCCGGCGAGGCGGGGTCCCGCCGATCCCGACGGACAGAGCCCCGCGCACAAGTCGAGGAGAGCGAGTCCGAGGCGGGAGCGGGGCTGCGGGAGGAAGACGCGGCGCGCGGGGAGGTGGGGGCCGGGAGAGGAAGAGGGGGGCGGGAGGAAGGGAGGGCGGCCGCGGGGAGCCCGGGGCCGGGCCAGCGGGAGGCGAGGGGAGGCCGACACCTCGGGCCGCGCCGCTCTCCCTCCCCGGCCCGGCGCGAGGAGAGGGCGGGAAGCAGGGCGGGCGAGAGGGGCGAGGAGGCGGAGGGCAGAGCCGAGGCAGGCTGGGCCGGGCCGGGCCGCGGGCGGGACTCGCGGCTTCCTGGCTGCGCCCGCGCGGCCGGAGCCCACCATGCTGCCCGCGGCCGGGGAGCCGGCGGCAGGTAGGGGCCGGGCGGCGGGGCGGGCGGCGGCCACGAGCCCTCCGCACGGCCCGCGGTGGCCTGGGAGTGATTAGTGCGGGGCGGGGGGGGGGGGCGGGCGCCGCCTGGCCGGACCGGGCAGGGAAAAGCCCGTCACCCACCGGGGAGCGGCGGCACCGGCCGCTCCGCGCTGGCGGCCCGCGGGAGGGCGGGCGGACCAGGCGGGGAGTTGACGCGCGGGAAGGGGCAGCGGCCCGGCAGAGCCCGAAGCCCCGGACCCCGCCCCCGCCCCCGCCGACGGGAAGGAGCGACCGGGCGGGAGCGGGCCGGGGGCGGGGCCGGGGGCGCCGGGGCCACACAAGGGGAAGGCGCCGCCGCCGCCGCCGCCGCGGGGAGGGGGCCGGGAGCGAGAGGTCACTGCCGAGGGGGGAGGGCCAGCGAGCGGCCGCCGCCGCCCAACCCCCGGGCCGAGCCGCTCGAGGGGAGCCCCACGTCCCCAAGCCTCTCAGAGCCCCTGATCTCTGCTCTCCCCACCTTCCTTCCCAGCAACTCCACGCGGCGCTCCTGGAGCCCTCCCCAGGGACCCCCAACCCCAGAGGACCCCGTCCCAGTGTCCCTGCGCCCGGCCTGGCCCTCCCCCAGGGGCGTGTAGGAGGGGGCTGCAGGGAGCCGAGGGGAGGCTGGCGGCCGCCCCGGCAGGAGCCCTCGGAGCCCTGGAGGGGGGCTGCGGGTGGGGGCCCTGGCCAAGCTCCCCCGTCAGCCGTGCTCTGACCCGGACCCAGGCGGCCGTCTCTGTGCTTTCTGTGAACCCACAGACTCCTCCTGGGCTCCCCAGCGCAGGATGCCCGTCCCCCCCGCCCCCCGCGCGGGCCACGGGGGCGCGGGGCGCCTTCCCCTGACCCACCAGATCGGCTCCCACCACTGGCCCTGACACACTCACTGCCCCGGAGCCACGCACTCCACCAGGCGGGAGATGGGTGCCAAGCAGGGATGGCAGCGACTGTCACCCAGCAGCCCCACAAGCCTCTCCTGGCTGGTGTCATGGCTCCCTCTCCCGCCCCACAGGGCCGGCACTGCTGCCCCGGCCACACTTCTGCACACTACCCTGCCACACCAGCCAGCCTGTTAGTGACACTTCACATTCCTCCCCACAATCCCACCTGCCTGTTCGTTCACACCCCAGCTCCGCCGGTCCCTCCGAGCCCCTCCCAGGCCTTTCAGACAACACCACCCTTTGAAATTCACGCACTCCCTGACCCGGGCTGTCCCTAACTTCTCCCCTACCGGGCTTCCAGCCGGTGGCCCAGCTCCCCTGCTCCGGCTCTCCTTGAGCTCACCCGGGGTCCTCTTGCAGCACCACCCAGAGCCCTCACTCCAGCAGAAGCCCAGCTCCTGTGCCTGCACTGGGCACAAGAGAGCTGGCCTGCCTGGCTCCGTCCTTCCCAGGCCTCAAGTTTTCCTCACTTAGGTGGAAGGGAAGGGCAGGGAGGGGCCGCTGAAGAGGGCAGGGAAGACAGCCCCAGTAGTCCTGCTGAGGAACTCCAGCGTGGAGTGCAGCCCCCTCTTGCCAGACCCATCACCTGATGGCTTGGTGGCAGAGCAAGGTCTCCTGACGTCTAAGGGCCCATGTGTACCCACTCACTAAGCCACCTCCCAGCGGCCTGGGGGCTAGGGAACCAAGCAGAGGACAGAGGGGAGGGGAGGCCAGGCAGCCCAGAGGACAAGGATAGTCGGGCTGTTTCTGTGGGCTTTTCCCTGGGAAGGCAGGTTGGGAAGCTCCCCCAAGGGCCCTTTCCTACAGCCTCAATGCCTGGATCTCACATCACAGGGGACACACCACCCCCTAAACTGCTTCATGTCCTCAATTCCCCTCAACAGACCCATCCAATGGCACCAGAATGCTGTCTGGGTCTGGCCTGAGGGCAGAACTTTTCCTTCTGGCTCTCACAATTCACCAGCACTTCTGGAGCTTTCTGATGCCTCCCTGGCTCCTGTGCTTTTGACTGATAGCTCTTAGCCACCAGTCCCAGGTGCAGAGTCTCCTGGCTGACTTGTCTTACCCACGCTGACGATCCTGGCCCATCTGTACCGCTGACCCCCCTCCCTCACTGAATGAGGTCAGCCTGGGGCATATGGCTAGGGACTGAGGGGCAGCCAGCGGAAGACATCCATACATGGGTGTGCCTGCCTGTGCAGCCGTGTCAGGGTGCCCATTCACTTGCGTGGGCTGAGTATGTGTGTGCGTGCACACACACGCGCCTGCAGGAGTGTTCATGAGGGGAACCCTGGGAACCAGGGCCCAGGGATCTGGATAGAATTAGGGGCTGGCCCAGGCGGGGGCCAGGATGGGGGGTGAGGGGGCTGTAGCAGGAAACGTGAGCTGCACTCATTAGCTCCTCACGTGCTCAGCCGGATTTATAAACACAGGGGAAGACGGGATGTAAACAATCAGTGGGCAGCAGCCAGAGGCAGAGCTGGGGCGGGGGCTGGGTGGGAGCCAGGCCTGGGAGGGGGCCCCAGGACACAGTCCGCAGTGGCCAGGTCCACCTGCACACCATGGGCCTGGAGAGGAAGGGGGTAGATGGGGGCTGCAGGATGCCCACTGCACTCTCCTAGGGACACCGGCAGGCTGCAAGCTAGTTACAGCTAAACCACAGGTGTTCTCTGCCAGGGATGCTTTTGGTTTTGCTGCCTGAGATATGGGAACATTTTGCCCAGAGTGGAAGCTGTCATGATCGAGGGTAGAGCCCTGCCCCATCCCCTTTCTCCTCTCCTAGCCTCTTCTCCCTCTGGATTTCTGAGACTCCTTCCCTCTTTCTGCTTCTCTCCATGGGTCAGTCAGTTGGATCCTTCTGCTCTCTCCCCTGCCCCCGCCCCCCCCAGCCTGCAGTGACAGTTACCTCAGAACTGAAATATTCCTGGAAACACCGGCCTCGTCTGGTTAATTTCATGAGCCGTTTTTCTGCCCAGATGACTTAGCTCTTGTTTATCCAAAGGCTTCTCCCCCTCTTCCCCTGCTGTCCCTGTGTAGGGAGCCAGTGCTCCCCAGGGATGCCCCACAGGGCCCAGAAGCAGGAGGGGAAACAAGACCCATAGCTGGGTTCCTGACTGTCCCCTCCCTGTCCCAGAACTCCTGTCTAGCAGGGCTGCCCAAAGCAGAGTAGGGTAAAGAGGCAAGCCCAGCTCCCAGTTCCCTCTTCAGCCAGGACGCCTGGTATCGCCACTAGATGAGAGCCAGGCCAGACTCCATCCTGAAAGCTACCTAGAGGCTGCTGCCCACCTCAGCAGGTCTCCAACCTCCAAAACTAACAGCTCCCCATACAGGTAGAATCTTGGGGGTGACTCAGCCAGATATGCAGGCTAAGGGTAGCCCCAGGCTTTGTGCAGAGGAGAAGGGCCTGGAGTTGTCTTGGGATGTCAAGAACAGGGACTAGAAAGGAGTCAGCAAGAGCTCAGATGGAAAGAAAGAACAAGGAAAGGAATATTTAGAAGGGAAGGTACAGGCTGCACACGGGGAAGAGGAAAAAGTGAGCCTGTTTCCTCAGGGAGCAGTTATGTGCCTGATGCTGCTCTCCGTCCTAAAACACACATGCGTGTGGGTGCACCCTCACACACACACTCTCTCTCAAACCAAGAGCCCTTCACCCACGAGAGCAGGGTTCCTGAGACTAGCGGCACCCCTACCGCCACGCTCCATCAGTAAAGCCAACCAGCCAACCTGAAAGAGTCGAGACCTACCAGTTCAGAAGTTCCCAGCTGAGCCCTACACTCTGAGAGGCAGTCTATGCAATTTGAGTCCTAAATCCTTCCCTTCTCTAAAACCCCGATCCAGCCTTATGACTAACTATATACTTAACCGAGTCTTAACTCCAAACCTATCCTAACAGTACAAACTGTTAAACCCATATCCAAATTATTTCTATCAAAACAACATATGTCACTGCATAAAACCTGAAAGTGTAAAGTATAAATTAGAGGCCCTGGCCAGATAGCTCAGTGGGTTAGAGCATTGTCCTAATACGCCAAGGTTGCGGGTTTGATTCCAGGTCAGAGCCCATATGAAAATCAACCAATGAATACATAAATAGGTGGAACAACAAATCAATCTCTCTCTCTCTCTCAAATTAATAAATTTAAAAAATTTAATGTAAATTAGAAGAAAGAACACTCACGATCCCACACCTACCCAAGCTCAAAATCCAAACTAGCCTTACTCTTACGACATGCCACGTGCCACCCCATCTGAAATCTGAATCAACACACTCACAAACCGTCCCAGCCAACCCTCTGCCTGACCAGACGCCCAGACCTAACCACATCCCCCAGCTGGACTCCAACCTCAACCACACTCACTCAGCCAAATCCCAATAAATTAACCTGAAACTTTAAAAGTAACCCAGTCCTTATAGCTAACCTAGCCCAATGCCAAATACAGCCTTGCCCCATCCTAATTCTAATGGCCTTTTCCCAGTCCCAATGCCCACTGAACCCTGGCCAAGTGCTCTTGACCTTGGATATCACCTAAAAGCTGGGAAAACCATGTTTCCCAACTGCCTATATCTGTTCTCACAGCATTGACCACTGGCCTCTGGCATCCCGGGGTGCCCAAACTCTCCAGCACCATCAACTGACAAGCCCAGTTCATTGAATACATCTTTCTCTCTTTTCCCCTTTCTCTCCTTTCCTCCTTCCCCCTCCCCCTCCCTCTCTTTCTCCCCTGCGGGCTGACTGAAAGCCTCATTCAGGTCAAACTTTTCCCCATCCAAAACCCTGGATAAGAATGGGGCAGACTTCCACACTGTAGCCCATCCCTGAGAGTGAACGTTGTATTTCCTTTCACCTAATCCCATCCTACACTTCCACACCAGAGATCAGAGCCTAGAATATTCCCACCACTAAGCCTGTGAGCCAGCCCCGTGTCCTTCAGCCTGACCCCAGTGGTCTGACCCTATACCTTGTCTCCTAGAGCTTGACTGGGGCTCGTTCGTTTGTTCTTGGGGGGGCAGCTTCTTTCTTGCTTCCCTCCCAGTGCTGACTGCTTGCATCTGGCAGCTCTGACATGTGCTGTTTCCCACCCCTTGGCTCCCCCAAGCTGCAGCGGGACGCTGGGAGAGGAGGCTGAGGTACACCTGGAACTCGGGAATACTGATTTGTGTTCCTAGGCCTGGCCCTCCTTGTACTCACACCTACGTGTTGGCGCACATACAGCAAGTATTAGCTGACCCACAAATATACTCTCCCATATCTACTGGTATAACATGTATAGCATACATGCCTCTACACACACACACACACACACACATTCTCAGGCCAGGAATGCTCCTCTCCTCCATCCCCCCTGCCTCCCATCTGGCGTCCCACCCTCACCCCTCCCTCCCATCCCAAGGTGAGGACAGACACCTGAGGGGCTGCCAGCTGCTTCCTCTAAAAGGCCAGACCCGCCCTCATGCTTCTTGCCCATCCTGTCCACAGGGGACTCGTGGGGGATGATAGCTTGCCTGTGCACCGTGCTCTGGCACCTCCCCGCAGTGCCAGCCCTCAATCGCACAGGGGACCCAGGGCCTGGTCCCTCCATCCAGAAAACCTATGACCTCACCCGATACCTGGAGCACCAACTCCGCAGCTTGGCTGGGACCTACGTGAGTATCTAGGGCAACTTAGGGGTCTAGGAAGTGGGTGAAGAATGAGAAGAGTTGGGGGTAGAGAGACAGAATGGTGGAGGGGTCCTGATGAATGTAGGGTGATGAGGAAGGGACCTTTGGCTCCAAACAGTCTCTGTGTCTAGCCTATCTCTTGCCCTTCCCTCTAGGGTGCCCCCTCCTCCCCATCCCAGGCCCCAGGACTAGGCATGTGGGCAGGCCTCGCACCCGCCTTGGCCCACTGCCCCACTGGCTGACTGCCCAGCCGCCCGCCTCCCCCTGGGGGCCGGGGAAGTCTCCTCTGTTTACACCGTGTTGTGGTGTCTCTTGCACGGGTGGGGCTGGGTGGGGATGGAGGGGCCCCACCTCCCATGTCTGTGTTCCAGCTCGCCTCTGCCCCAGACCTGGGGCCCTGCTGCTCTGGACCCATGGGCCTCCCTTCTGTCTGCCTCTCCCGTCCTAGCTGGGCCTCCTAGGGGGGACTTGAGGGAAGGGGGCTGCAGGGAACCCAGGCCAGTAGTGGCAGGGGGCTCAGGGTGTGCACTGAAGTTCTGCCATAAGAATTTGGGGGCAGTCCAGAGGTGTTCGGAGAGCCCAGGAGAGGAGGAAGGAGGGTCAGAGTCAGCAAGGACCATGGGGAACTGGCCCCCTCTTCCCGTGTTCCTCTTCCACATCCCAGACCCTACTCTGAAGCCAGGGAAAGAAAGGGGAGGAGGGTGGCGGGGGAGCTGGCTCCAGCCCCAGGATACACCGAGGAAATTAGTTTGTCTCTGTGCTTGTCAGCGTGTGAACCTCCCCCTGGGCCCTTGCCTATCCCAGGCCTCGCCCCTCTCTTCTCCCTTTCTCTCCCCGCTGAACTGTCTCCCTCAGCCCTTTCCCTGGGCCCCAGGCTTCTCCCCCGGGGGTTGGCAGGGCTCTGTCCTCTTCCCTAGACTGACTTCCATACCCTTCCTCCAGCTCAACTCTTGAGCCTGCCTCAGTTTCTTCTGTTTGCAGTCCTGCTCCTGTGGGCTGAGCCCTTCCTTGGGAGTTAGTGTGCACCTTCTGTCCTCAGCCCTTCAGCTGGTGGGGCTGGGCACATCAAGAGGCAAGCGGAGCTCTGATACCCACAGGCCCCTCTGCCTTTCGACCTGCTTTTCCTGTCCAGAAAACCTTTGCTTGACTCTGCTACCCCCTCTAGTTCCCGACCCTTTTTCTCTCCTGGCTTTCCCTGCCAAATTTCTCGAAGGAGTGGTCTACACCCTCTGCCTCCACTTCCTCTCCACCCACTCAGTCTTTAACCCCCTGCAATCTGGCTTCCAGGCCACTGAGACAGTTCTCTCCAAGGTTGTCAGGCACCTCCTTCTTGCCAAACCCAACAGCATTTTCTAAGGCTCGTTCTTGCTCTCTGTTTTACAGCCACACTGTTGAGCACTGCTGTCTTCTCGAACTCCTCTTCTTGGCTCTGCGCTCTCCTGGTCCACCTTCTACCTCTGCAGCCTGGCCTCCTGGGCCCCCATGGCTCCTCTTCCTCTCCTGCCCTGCCTCCCCGGTGGGTGGGTGCTCTCCGGAGGCTTGCACACCCAGCCTATCAGCGAGCCCTCCCTGAGTATCTGCTGCTCAGTTTTTCTCATTCTACACCTCTCCACAGGAGAGCTGGTTACCCTAATTGCTTCAACTGTCATCTCCATGCAAATGACATCCATGGAGAAACTTAGGGTTGGCCTGTGAACAGAGAGGCCTGGTATAGAGACGGGGCCAGTGTTGGGGGACACAGGAAATGGAAACTTAGGGGACAGGTATCTCCTGGTGGCAGCGAGCTGGCCGCTTCGCCCTCTTCCTTCCCTATTGCCCTCTCCTTTCCACAGCTGAACTACCTGGGCCCCCCTTTCAACGAGCCTGACTTCAATCCACCTCGGCTGGGGGCAGAGACTCTGCCCAGGGCCACTGTCAACTTGGAAGTGTGGCGAAGCCTCAATGACAAACTGCGGCTGACCCAGAACTACGAGGCCTACAGCCACCTTCTGTGTCACTTGCGCGGCCTCAACCGCCAGGCTGCTGCTGCCGAGCTGCGCCGCAGCCTGGCCCACTTCTGCACCAGCCTCCAGGGCCTGCTGGGCAGCATTGCGGGTGTCATGGCGGCTCTGGGCTACCCACTGCCCCAGCCTCTGCCTGGGACTGAGCCCACCTGGGCCCCTGGCCCTGCCCACAGTGACTTCCTCCAGAAGATGGACGACTTCTGGCTGCTGAAGGAGCTGCAGACCTGGCTGTGGCGCTCAGCCAAGGACTTCAACCGGCTCAAAAAGAAGATGCAGCCTCCAGCAGCTGCAGTCACCCTGCACCTGGAGGCCCATGGCTTCTGATCTTTGACCTTTACCACCTCCTCTTCCCCTCCCCTTCCAACCCTGCTCCCACTCTGGGAAGGAGAAACCTGTATGCCAACATCTGTTGAGCCAGGAGACAGAAGCTGTGAGCCTCTGGCCCTTCCGGGACTTGGAGGAGCGTGTGATGCAATAAGGCCCATCCCCTCCCCATTTCCCAAAGTTCTGCAGGTCTGGGGAAGAGGTGCAATAGGCTCCGTCCCATTTCTCCAGGGAGTAATGCTCAAGGGAGCCCGAGGTGCTTCGGGTCGGTGTGAAGGCTCTCACAGCGTCCTGCTTCCTGCCCACCACCTGCCAGTGCCCAGCCAGCCCCTCAAGTGGCACTTCCAGAAGGCATGCCTGTAGGACAGGGAGGGGCCACCACAGCATGTGCCTTTCTCGGGAGAAGCCCGTTGCTGCCCCACTCTCCTTAGATGGGTGTTGCTCCCCTTTCTCCAATTAACTCCATACGTTCAATTCAGGAAACAAACAGTGGCAAGTCTAAACAGGAAGAGATGAGATTAAAAATGGGATTGGTGGGGTCTGCATGGGAGGTAATACTGAAAGCAGAGGTACAGGGACAGACTGGACCCAGGAGTCACCAAGGCACAGGGTGGCAACGAAAGGACCTTGTCTAGAATTTTCTTGCCAGCATCACGGTGCCTCCTCTCCACCTCTTTTCCAGGGTATCTGTGGGTTGCCCAGCCTGGGGAGGGCAACCATAGCCACAGCCACAGGATTTCCTGAAAGTTTACATTGCAGTAGCATTTCGGGGTGTGGGGGCAGCTCCCCCAGGCCCTGCACCCCAGCCCCAACCACTCATGACTCTGTTTGTTGTATTAATATTTATTTATTTGGAGATGTTATTTATTAGATTATATTTATTGCAGAATTTCTATTCTTGTATTAACAAATAAAATGCTTGCCCCAGAAGCATCTCTTTGCTTGCCCCTGCCCCTCCTCTTGGCCCTTCCCCTCCTGTGGCTTGCATGCCTGCTGGGAGGGCCTGGAAACCTGGAGGTTAGCTCTGGAGAGGCACAGAGCTTGGGGAAAAGACTCTCCCCGTTTTGTCGGGGAAGACAGGCGCACAGCAGACTTCACTCCAGCTCTCTCCATCAACGCCACTGCCGTTTGGTCCTTCCAGGTGCCTCTGGTCTTTCGCTGATCCCCTTTCTCCTAGCCTTGGCTCAGTCCGCCTCACCTCTCTGAATTATTCTAATGTTCTCATAGGTCTGTCTCTCTGCAAAGTGGTTTATCTGTCCCTCTGGTGCTCTCTCCAAGTGGTCAGCCTACACATTCAGCCCTCAGTTTCCCCAGAACCCTCACCTGTGGCTGCCTTTGGGCCCCTCCTCAGCACGGACCCTCACCTCATTGCCCTTCCTCTCCTAGGAAGGGCGAGAGGCTACAGCCAAGTTGTGATTCTCAGCTGTGACTACTCCCTTCTCTCCAATGTAAAACCACAGATTAGTGGGAAAGAGAAAGACTCCTATTGGAGTGCGAACGAATGGGATAGATGCTGTTCAAGGGGTGGCCTAAGCTCAAATTCCAGTTCCATAACGTATGAACTGAATGATCTTGGACAAATTATTTAAAGTTCTCTCTTCTCTAGTTTCTCCATCTGTAAAATGGGAATATTCAATACCCTTATAAGATTGCTGGGAAAGATAAGAGAGAATAAAGATGCTTGGCTGCCGCAGCAGCCCCTAGTGAACATTACTTGGGGCATACGGCGAGTCATGACGCTCTAGTGAAGAGCCTGGGTCACTTAATGGGCTAATGCCCTCAGGTAATACATGGATATTTTACAAGGGCCTCTTGGAGGCAGTGCTCTAAGCAAAGGGAGTAACAAGTGATGGTCATGTCAGTCAGCTGACAAATATTTTAAAGACATTACCTGCCCATCACTGTGCTAAATGGTATAGGAAAGATAAAAGAAGTCCAAACCTATCTCGGCTCCTGCCCTTATGGGGGAGCCTGTCATCTACTGGGGAAGAGAAGACCAGCTTACCTGGAACGATAGGAACAAAAGTATCCATGTCCAACGTGCACTGGGAGGTCCCCACATGAACCACTGGAAAAGGGAGAGGCCGGAATGTAGGTGCAGGAGCTATTGGACTTGCTTGTGGGTGGGGCAAGCCAGGCTCTGTTGAATGTCCCTGAGTCACCTGGCCCAAGTTGGAGGGAACATGCCCACCCTGAGGGGTCCAGGCTCTTCAGGCGGAAGCATCTGCCCAGCCATGGCTCTGCCTCCTGCCTAACAAGACAGAAAGGAGAGGGCATCTGGGCTATCTCTATGCAGGGGCAAAATGAGTAGCAGCCTGTTATGTGTCAGGCACCAAGCAGAGGGCTATACAGAATACAGGGACAAGGGAGGGATGACCCACACTACTGTGAATTTATCTGGGGCAGATTCTGAGACTTTCCCATCTGTCTATCTCAGCACCCAGCTCGGGCTCCAGCCTAAAGACTGTGTTCAGTTAGTGTATTGAACGAAATGATCTGGAAAAGGGACTAGGGCCCCCCTCCCGAAATGCTAGAATCCAAGGTAGAATTTAATTAACTGTAGAGAGACACAGGGAAAATACTATGGACGTCAAGGAAGGAGTGATTGCTCCCAGTTGGGTGAGGGTTCTGCTAGTCTGTGAGCCCTAGAGGGGAGACAAGGAGTGTCTGAGATGACTGCTTTAATTCCAGTTCTGTATTTCCAGTGTCTTGAATGTACGAAGTGCTTTTATATAAATGTAGAAGGTGGGACTTGACACCATTCTCAGAGGACGGGCAGGACAAGGGATAGCGGAGTGTGTCCATCTCCCTTTTAAGCAGGCAGTATCTTAATGGCAGGTTCTGTGATTTACTCATCTTTGCACCCCTACAGCATTTTAGCACAATGCTGAGCACAGACTAAAGTTCTCCATAATTTTATTTAAACTGGTTTAAAATGTCTCAAGACAATGGTGTATTAGAAGGCAAAAGAGGAGAGTTTTAAGGAAGTAGCCGACAGTATCAGGTGCCCCAGAAGAACTGAAAGCATACAGGAAAGCCCACTGGCTTTGGTAAATCAGCAAGTCGCTGGTGATCTTTGTGAGAGCAACTGAGAGGTGGATATCAAATTGTGAGATTCAAGAAGGAGACGATGAAAAGTAGAAGGGGTAACTATATTCCCTCAGGAGTTTGGTGGCAAAGGGACTATCTAGATGGGGTGGCAAAAGCATGGAAGGTTGGTTGGTTGGTTGGTTGGTTGGTTTGCTGTTGTTGTTTTCAAACAGAAGAGACCTAAACATCACTCATGCGTGAGGGGTGGCAGCTGGAGGAGAATGGATAGACTTGGGGAATGGTACCAGAGACAGGCGTAAGAGAACCAAAAGCGTTTCTGGGCAGCCACATGGAATCAGGTGACATCAGCAAACACAACTCTGTGGTCCCCATCTGGCATGGATTGTGACATTCCCTAGCATCCCTAGCAAGCCAGAGATGCCCAGCGTGGGGGACAGAGTGCAGAAAGGGCATTTCCCAAGATGGAGAATTGGCAAGACAGGAATGTCAGCAAATCACAGGACAAGGGACTCGAGTGGGTTAGAAATTATACTGTGGAGTGGCCGTGAGCCTCACAGACTACAGTGCAGGCACATGGGTAGCAAAGGGAAATGGGAGTGGGTGACCTGGAGAAGCGGGGAGCACTGGCATTCACTCCAGCAAAGGACGCCGAGGGTGCACCCTGGGATCATGGCATGGGAGGTGGATGCAGAGGAGAGCCCAGGCGTAGAGGGCTTTTCACAGTTTGAGTTCTTAAACTCTCCCCAAAAGAGCTCCCTAGCGATGCCCTTGGCAGCATGAGCCCCTCCTTTGGGTTTTGGTACTCCTGTGGACCAAGGGGCAGGTAGCTCCTGGTAAATGACAGGTCATCAGGCTTTTCTGTGAGTGACTTTGTCATTGCTTCTCCAATCACAGTTTGTTTTTGTTTTTTTCAGGAAAGGTGTTGAATTTTCATTGGTTATTTTAGGTTCCACCTCTAAAGCGTGTTCTTATAGTCAGGGGCCCAGGTATCCAGGGGTCACCCTCAGAACTTGGAATACCTGAGGCCCTGCGGTGTCATGGAGGGAGGGTGTTGTCTAGGAGTTCTTCTGTTCCCAGAAAGGCTAAGAAGAGTGGGAGGGAGGGAGAGAAGGCTCTCCTCTCTGCCATCTCCAGGCACCAGAGTGGATTAGAAATCTCATCTCCATCTTGGGCGCCTGGAGACACAGCTGTATTTGAGAGGATGCGCACAAGATGGAGATACGTCATTTTAGGGAGACAACCTCCAGGGGCACAGGAGTGGGCACGGAAGAGGCTCTGATGCAGGGTGGCAAAAGGGTAGTAGCGCCCTGCCAGTTGCTCACTTTTGCAAAGACTGACCCAGCGTCCAGGATTTAGGTCAGTTAGGTAGTTCGGTGACTCATTCAGGCACTCATCTTAGACACACACACACACACTCACCCACTAGCCCTAGCCATCCCTGATGGGGAAGGGCCAAGGGAGGCCCTATTTCCCTTAGTCTAAATGGCAATGGCCAGTGATCCAGGCCTAGCTGAATGCTCTGATGGGTGGCTTTCTCTCAGCTCCCCCTTCTCTGGAGCCACAACTGTTCCTGCCTTTGTCACTTCACTCCTTGAGCTCCCTGACTCAGCCTGGCTCCCCCAATTTCCCAGCAGTGGACAAAGCCCTTGTCAGCGGCGTGGGGGTGGGGGCAGTGAGAGTAACTGTGAGTGGGAGAACCAGGGATCTAGCCCTTTCCTCATCTTAACCTTCAGGGTCCTTCAGCCTCCCAAGTTCAGAGGTCTCTCCACCCTTCCCCAGCTTGCCCTGGTCTCCAAGGCAGGGCTGATAGGTTGGAAACTAACGAGGACCTTCCTCCCAGCTGGACAAAGTCTGACACCTGGTGGCCGAGGTGAGGAATGGCCAGAAAGGCCCCTTCTCAAATCTCCCCAGAACTTCACAGGCAGGATGATGGCCAAGGTGAAGGAGAGGTGATGGGAAGAGGTTTGGAGGGGGTGATTGGGACAGGACAAAAGAGACATCCAGTGGCGAAAAACCCCAGACCCCGGGGAACCTTTGCCTTCCACCAGACTCCCACCCCGTAAAGCCCGCAGGCCAGAGAACCCGCAACAGCTTGATGTGGGGTGTCTGGGAGGGTCGTGAGGGACTAGGAGGAGCTGCCTGAAAGAATTTTGGCCCACAGGGTGGGGAATGGGGCCCAGGGTGTATGAGTATGTGGGGGCTGGGGGTGTACATCTGGCTGCCCAGGATCTCTGGCTCAGGGTGGGTGGCAGGGCCTGAGGGCCTGAGGAAGGGCTGTGCTGGGGAGAGGGAAGGAGAGCGGGCAACGCCCCACAGCCAGTTGGGCCCCAGGCAGCTGCTTCCCTCCCTCCACCTGTCCCCACCTTCCTAGCTCTAGCTGGCTCTCCCCACAAGCTCCATCATGAGCTGGGGGAAGGGAAGGGGCTCTTAGGGCGCATGTGCAGTGCTCAGGCCCCCCCATCCTGCCACATTGTCTGAGCAAAGCCAGGCTTAATCCCCCTTCCCCTTGGAGCAGTCAGCGGGTGGGCCTCAGCCCTCAGGAAGATTCTGGGCTCCTGTTCCAGTTCTTTTCTTTCCTTTTCTCTTGTGTTCCCTCGAGCTTTTGGTCTTGGCGATGAAGCAAGTGGCTTGAGTATTCCCAGGCCAAGGTGCAAAGGTTACTTCTGGAAGTCCATCACTAGCCTTTGGGGGTCAGGGCTGACACAGGAACCTAGACCCTGATCTCAGGAAATTCCCTGAAGGATGGAGAATTTAGCCCCCAACTCAGACCTCTGGCCTGGCCCTCTAGCCTGTAGTCTGAACTGTGACAGGCCCCAGGACAGCAGCTTTGGGGACAGGCCAGAAGGCTACCTAAGTAGGGCAGAGGTTCCAGGAAGGAAGGTGATAGAGGGCTGACAAGATCAGGGAAGCAAAGAAAAGAAAGACACACCCAAGGATGGGCAGGCCAAGGTCCAGTCTAGTTGCCAGCACACTTTAGGGAGCCAGATGCCAATTACAGGGAGGATGCCAGTTGGACAGGGATGGCTCTACACCTCTGGGTGCCAACTTCCATGAGCCCTGGGAGCGCGATCCCACAGCTCTCTGACTAGGAGAAGGCAACACTGCCCGCGGAGAGTTCCTGCAGCTCCAGGCCGGAAAGCCGGTCCTAGGGGGCCTGCGCTAGAGCTGACTGCCCTGATCTCTTTCTTGGTACTGGGTGAAGCTGAAAGCTAGGGGAGGCATCTTCGAGGCTAAGTGGGAGAGACTAGCAGGGCCCGGGCCAGGCAGAGCTGGGCGCAGCTGGCAGGGATGGCCCAGAGAGTGCCCACAGAGCAGGTCAGGGTGCCCGAGGGGAGAGGGAAGAGGCTCAGGCGGCAGTAGGAGCCACTGTGGCCGCCCCGCGGCACACCCCATTTCACGCTCCCTGGGCGGTGGCAGGGCCTCACGGCTATCAGCTTTCAGGGGTGGGAGGGACCAGGAATGAGGAGGGATCTGCCCCACCCATGGTCCCCTACTCCCTCAGGGCTTTGTCGGCTCAGGAGTTGGGTACCACACACCTGTGGCAATGACCCCTGGGGAGGGGGTGGTCAGTCCCACAGAGCCTGGACACCATCCCTCCATGGAGTGCCCAGTGCCTGACTGGATGCCACACCTAAGCCCTTTGTAGGCCTGGGGGAGAGGGCCTCCCTGTTTCCCTCCCAACACAGCAGGGCCCCTGTCTCCCTCAGTGTGGGCCCCACTTAGTCCATAAGGCAGATGAGGGGATTAGATCAGGCACAGCCCAAACAATAAAGCAGGGAAGGGCCCTCCAGCTCTGTGCGGCGCGCCACGAGCTCTCACTCCTCCACTCAGCCTTCCTCGAGGGAGCAGAGGGGGAGAGCCAGGTGGAGGGAGGCCCCTGAAGACATGGCCTGCTCCTGTTTCTCCCCTTCTGTGGTCAGCTTTCCAGAGTGCTCTCTTTCCTTGTGCCCACCTTCCGCCTGTCACAGAGCACCCAGGCTCCAGAGCAGAGGAAGAGGAGGAAGGCGGTACCTCTGACGAGGCCCTCACATCCCTGCAGGGGAGAACCGGACAGGGTCTCTAGAGGGTGCTTAGAGCAGGGCTGGTCCCTGTGCCCATTCCCAGACTCTCAGTGGCATTTTGCCTGCTGCCAGGAAGTTGATGAGGGGGAGGCAGGCGTAGGGGTGAGTCAGCAATGACAGAAGCTCAGGGACAAAGGTCATGGGTGGAGAATTGTGAGACACTGTTTATTCAGCCTGCCTCCTCCAGGAGGTCTTCCAGTGCTAAGCCAACCCTGTGGTCCAACCCATCTGTGACCCACCCTCCCCACTCTCCGGTTTGTGAAGAACTCTATCCTTGCACGGACAATTGTGGGTCCTATTTGCCTCCTGGGGAGTACCGAGGGGCTGTGGTTTAACTGGATCCCCACAATGCCTCTAACTATCAGCATTTCCTACTTTTAAGAACCATTTTACATCGATTTTAGTTGAGTGAATCTGTGGGAAAGTGCTTAGAACAGTATTTGGCACACAGTAAGTACCATATAAGTGTTAGGTTTATTGTTGGTATTTTCTGCTCACATGCTCACATTAGTGTGATACAGACACGGCAGATTTTGCTATGAAGAACTGGGGATCCAAACACACTCTGGCCTCCTGTTCAGTGTGGAATCTTCCTAACGAGCAGGGCCGGCAGGGAGCAGGCTGTGGGACCCCAGGAGAGCTGAGAGGGCAAATGCTTGCCTGGACTAAGGGTGGGCAGTATCTTTGGGCGCAGACTGTGAGAAAGGAGATTTCCAAATCCATGGGCTTCTCCAGCCAGCTCTCCTGGGGCAAATGGGGGTGGGGTGGGAGCAGGGAAGAGGGCTGGATTAGCCAAAACTCTCTTCCGACCTCGTGCCCCACAACATTCTGTGTGCCAAGGAGGGTGGGGGTGGGGAGTGGAAGGCTACAGCTGGGCTCTGGGGAGTTACAAACCTGCCACGGGGATTAGTGAGGCTGAAAAGAACATTTGCCTAGGAAGGGAAAACGGGAAGTGAGAGGCTGAGGATAACGCTCTGTAAGTCCCCCGAGACTCACTGCAGGCCGGGGGTGGGGCGGGGAGCGGCGCAGGGGGAGGTGGTGCAGTCTGGGGCGTTTTGACAGGTCCCCTACCCCAGCCTCAACCCTTCTACCCTGGGACACAGCTGCAGAGGCTGCCCCGCCCCCTCAGCCTGTGCTGCCAGTTATTGGCTGGAGTCGGGCCACGCCCCTCTGAGGCGGCCTGCCATTGGCTTAGGTCTTTGATGTTTCCGTGCTTGTGGACAAGGGGAGAGACGTCATTCTCTGGAAACTGCGAACTTCCTCTCTGCTAGTCTGGGTCATTCCGTCTGCCCGTTGCTGGTCCCAGGCTCGCTTTCTGGCCCCAGCCCTCTCTCACTCTCTCTCTCAGCAGCTGTCTTTCTCGTGCCCGTTGGCCTGTCTCTCTCCTCTGCCTGCCTGGGTGGCCGCCATGGACCGGAAGCGGCTGATCACTGACTCCTACCCAGTAGTAAAGAGGAGGGAGAGCCCCACTGGACACAGCAAGGGGAAGCTGGCACCGGAGTTAGGTCTCTGAGGTGTGGGGAGGGCGGGAGGGTGGACACCGAGAGACATGGGACATGGGCGGATGTGAGCAGTGCAAGGGGAAGTGAAGTATGTCCTCAAGCTCCTACACCAGGCCTGGTAGCGGAAGACAGAGGCAGAGGGGTGGTGAGGGCTGAGGAGCCATGGGTCAGCTCTGAGGCAAGGGGCAGGGAACCCGCCCTGCTGGGCTCAGTCCTGGGCAGGCCTGAGGAGCAGCTTATCATTGCAGAGGAAGAGATCCAGCCCCTGAACGTCGATGAAGTGGAGCTGGAGTTGCTGAGGCAGTTTGACCTGGCCTGGCAGTATGGGCCCTGCACAGGTGAGAACCACCCCTCAGGTCCCCGGAGCACACATGCTGGAACCAGTCCTGTCACCCACTTGTCTCTGAAACAACCCACGCCCCTGCCCGACCCTCTCAGGCACTCTCTTCTGAGCCTGGGGAGTGCAGAGGTCCCGACACACCCCACACACATGCTGTAACCTGAACTCTTCCCTGCCCCTCCAGAGGTCCCACTGCCTTCTCCTCTCCCTGGCAGGGATCACAAGGCTGCAGCGCTGGCATCGGGCAGAGCAGATGGGCTTGGAGCCTCCCCAAGAAGTGCGTCAGGTGCTGCAAACCCACCTCGGAGACCCCCGCTTCCAGTTCAGGTCAGACACAGGCCAGGGAGGGCTTTCAGGGGAGCCAGAATCTTCTCCAGGCACCACCAGTCTGCTGGCTGTGGTGGGGGGACTGCCCTGACCTGAGGGAGAAGTGGGTGCTGGCTTGGGGGTCCTTACTGAGCAGGCAAGAAAGTTCTACAAAGTGCCTGGCTCAGGAGGGGACAATTATTATTGCTTTAATAGTTCTTATCTCTGAGCTAATGGTGGGGGAAAGGTATACCCAGGGCCCAAGGTACTATCTATTTAGTACTAGGGATGACCAAGGATTATAGGCCATGGCCCAAGACCTGGTGCTGGTGAAATCAGAGCCAGGGACTTAATGACTCTCTCTGGTTTCTCCTTCCCCCCATCTCCCCTTGTACAGCCTCTGGCACCTCTACCCACTTTGAGGTGCCACCTAAGATCTTCTGCCCGCTACCCAAGAACCTCAGGACACAAGTGAGACCCCATTGCTGCCCCTCAGCTCAGCTCTGCTGTGGAGAACATCAGGCAGGAAGGAGTCTCACAGGGAAGGAAAGAGGCTGAACCTGGAGGTCTCCGCGCTTAGTCGTCCATCTGACCAGCTCTGAGAGCCAAGGAGCCCTTCCTGCCTGGGTCGTGGTCTCTGAGGACAAGAACCTGCCCGTGACCATCCCGATGCCTGTCACACACCTCCCTGCCCTAAACACTGTGATCCTGGGGATGGTGTAGCAATTTAGGCACAGCCTAATCTGAGCAGACTCAGGCAGATGCACTCCCTGCCTAAGCCTAGGAATCTGAGGGCAGAACTGGCTGAGCTCACAGGGCAAGGTGTTCACTAATGCTTATCAATAAATAACACAGCCTGGAAGCCTAAACTCCAGTCCTTTAATGTGATCCTGCTTGGGTTGGCAGCACCCAGAAAGTTGATAGGCGGGAGGGGGCCAGCACCGTGCTTTTTTACAACCTCTGTGTGTACCTCCTTCCACTGTCTCACCTTAGACCTGAGAGAAAAGACATCTTTAAAGACCAACGGACAAGTCTTCACAAGCCCTTTGCAGCCTCCGGCGCCCCCTGGTGGTACACAGGGAAACTACTCTTGTCACGTGCAGGGACCAGCCACCTAGCCTGACCAGTGTTCTCCACCTCACAAAAATAGGTCCTTTGTCAGAGGAGGATCCATGGGGCCCGTGGCTCAGAAAGTCCAGACATTCTGCCCCACCAATGCCTTCCCAGCAAGCACCTCTGCTTCCCACAGGGGGGTTCAAGGCAGGGCTAGGGGGGGTGTTTCAACCCACAGGACCTGCTCAGAGATGGCCAACGTCTGAGGGACTTTGGTAGGGAACTGGATAGTGCTGGGGATGGAAAAGAACAGGCTGGGGCTAGAAGCAACATTTAGGGTACCCTGGGGCAGTATGACATGAAGAATGTAATCAGTACTCTTTACATGATGTCACCTTCATTTGCTGCTTCAGCCCTCCCTCCTGGAGCAGATAGAGAAGCACTATGAATTCCTTGGAAACAGGCCTAGAGAACGACCAAGTGGTATTCTTAGCCCCGATTTTATTGAGCACTCGTCATGCCTCAAAGACTTTAAATGTTTTATCTCTGAACTCCCTTAAAAGCCTTCAAGGTAGATTTTACAGAGAGGGAAACTGAAGCCCGGGAAGGTTGTGCAAAGTTGCCTGGCAGCACTAGCAGGGGCACGGTGGTGCCAGGATGGGTCCCTGTGTATCAGGCTCTTCCCATATATACCACGTCCTGCCCATCTGATAAACGCCTGGATGTGCTGGACCTAGAGGTTCTCTTGGGTCTTACTAGTGGTGAGGAGGTGGACAAAAACAACCATGTAAATAATATGTCCGGCAGGGGTCCATGGTAAGCGAGATTAGGGTTAGAGGCCAGAGTGCCAGAGAGGCTGGTCAGGGAAGGCTCTCTGGCAGATGGCCTTTAAGTATAGGAGTGAGCCTTGCACCCACTCGAGTGCTCTGGACAGAAGGAACCAAAGTACACCCTCCCCAAGGCAGGAATGCCTCCAGCCTGGTCAAGGAACAGCATGGAGGCCAGTGTGGCCAGGGCAGAGGAAGCAAGGGGAGTGTGGTGGGAAATGAGGCCAGGGATGCAGCAGGTAGGTCCCAGAGGGCCTTGCAGGCCAGGATAGGAATCTGGATTTTATTCTGAGTCAGAGGAAGGCATTGGTGGGTATGAAGCCAATAAATGACATAATCAAACATGTTTTGAAAACATTACTCTGACTGTTGGAGAACAGATCGTGGGGTTGGGAGAAGAGACAAAACCACTCAAGAGACTACTTTGGTTGGCCTCGTGAGAGGTGATTTGGACCATGGTAGGGAAATGGTGGTGGTAAGAAGTGCCAGATTCCTTCTATATTTTGAAGGAATAACTAACTGACTGACAGGACTTGCTGATTAGTTGGCTGTGGAGTTTGAGAGAAAGCAGCCAAGGATAACGCCAAAGGTTTTGGCTTGAGGAACTGGAAGGACAGAGTTCCCATTACGAAGATGAGAAAGATTGTGGGAAGGGTAGGGTGGGGTGGGAATCAAGAGTTTGGATTTGACATCTGTGACACATCCAAGCTGAAATGGAAGCAGGCAGTGGATATATAAGCCTGGAGTTCTGGGGAGAGCTCTGGCTTTGAGACATAAGTTTGGGCATCTTTTTAAATTTTTTAAAAGATTTTATTTATTTATTTTTAGAGAGGGGGAAGGAGGGAGAAAGAGATGGAGAGAAACATCAATGTGTGGTTGCCTCTCATGCGCCACTACTGGGGACCTGGCTTACAACCCATGCATATTGCCTGACTGGGAATCAAACCAGCAACTATTTGGTTTGCAGGCCAGCCCTCAATCCACTGAGCCACACCAGGCAGGGCGAGTTTGGGAATCTTTTAAATGACATTTAAAGCCATGGGTGTGAATGAGATGACCTGAATGAGTACAGACAGAGGCAAGAAGTAGTCGAAGGACAGCTCTGGGGCCTTCCATGCTTAAAAGGGAGGGAGAAGAGGGCATGTAGCAAAGGCAGCTAAGGAGTTGCAAGACTGGAGGAAAATAAGGAGACGGTTAGAGCCTGGGAGGCCTGGGCAGAAGGTGTTTCAAGGTCTCATGGTAAAAGAAGCCGGAAAACAGCACATTGTGCTGGCAGTGCAGAGGTCACTGAAGGTGAGCAGATTCTTGAAGTGCTGGGGGTAGGAGAGGACCTGGGGTGGGCGCAGAGGGAATGGCAGAAGTGCAAACAGGAAGCATGCCAACTCTTTTGGGACCTTTTCACTATAAAGGGAGTGGAGAAATAGAGTGGTAGCTACAAGGGGATGTGGGACCAAGGGAGGGTTTTAAATTTATTGTTGTGTTTTGTCCTTTGTTTTAGTAAGTACAGCATAATAATAGAATTACATGGCAAACAGAGTGAGCCAACAGAGAGGGAAGCTCAGGAGGCAGTTATATGAGTGAGGTCTTTGTGGAGGTGAGAAGAGCCAGGAAGAGGTTGACCTTGGATAGGAACACCCACTGAGATAGGAAGGGAGGCTGAGGATGAGGGCTAGACACAGGTGAGGGGTACAGTTAGGAGTGGGAACATTCAAGAATCAGATGTTTGCTGGGAGCTTAGTATGACTAGGAGGGATTTGATGTTTACTAAGTGCCATCCATGTCATCTGCTGTGCTGAACACTGCACCTGCTTTTTCTAGTCGACTCCCTAGGACAATCTCATTACATAAGTATTACTCATGTTTCACAGATGAGGAAACTGAGGCTGAGAGGAAAAGTGACTTGCTCAATTAGTAAAACCCAGGGCCCAATTCACATCCAGGTCTGTCTTCTCACCCTATTACCCTGCACCTGCACTCCCACCTGCACCTGTGCTGCAGGTACTTTGGAAGGTATTGGAGAGACCAGATCTACCCACGCAGAAAGTTGAAAAAAACAATGTAATATGAGTGCTACCTTGGGGCAACTAGGAGCGGTATAGACAGGAATTCTCAGGAATGCGAGAGCACCACTTATTAAAGGGACCCTTGCTTCAGGGACCCTGAGTGCAAGGACTGCCACCTCTGCTGCATTGGCATTACCTCTGCCTTACCTCATCTGCACCCAACCCCTTCTACTTACCACATTCCTGCTTCTCAGACCTGTCCGCAGCAAGATGAATGCAGACTACCCACTAGGGCTGGCGGGGGGGAGGGTGGCCCAAGACGCCTCCACTCTGCATATTCTTAGTAGTTGTGTGTTTGATCTTAAAAACCTTTGGTCAATTTTGCATTCTACTCCATGATACACCTGGACATAAAAATGAATAAACTTGCTTATCAAGTAAAATGAACCCTCCAGGAAGATGTGCCACATGTGGCCTATGGTTGGCTTCACATACCCTGACATGTCCACCACCACCCAGCCCAGGCTGCGCAACATGGAAGAAAGCCCCATACGTGTTTACCAGAAGGAAATGGGAGATAAGCGACCCTTGAAGGGTGTGTAAGAGTCAGCCAGCAGAGAAGAGCATTCTAGACTGAGGGAGTGGGCTGAGCAAAGGCAACTACGAGAAGAGGACGTGTGCACCCAGAGGAGAGGTGTGCAGACTGTAACACACACTCTATGAACATCAGCACAATAAAAACTATCATTTTAGTGCTGGCTAATCGTCCAGCACTGTTCTAAATGTCTTTAATTCACACAGCAACTCCAGAAATGACTATAAAATTATCAAGTGATTTTAAAGAAGAAATTCAGGCACAGAGGGGTTAAGTACTTACCCAGGGTCAAGAATAAAATATGATCCCAGACTTGGGCTTCACAACCTCTACCCGTATCATGAGGGATGATGCCAGTGAGACGGGGCTGGGATCAAACACAGGGTCTTTGGCCTGAGGAGTTTGGAGTTATCTATGGTGATGAGCACTCTTGAAGGTTTTTGAGGAGGAGAGAGAGAGAAGATAAAAAATAATCATTCTGGAGAATCTGTCAACAGGTGTGAAAGAAAGACTGAAGGGGAAGGGAGAAGAAACTGCAGGCAGGAAGACCAAGTGGGAAGCCATTAAGTATTCAAGACATGGGTACTGGGACCCTGGAATAGCAGACAGAATAGAAAAAAACAAAGAGCTAAAGAGATGTTCCAAAGAAAGTTGGCAAGACTTGCACTTGGGTAAGGAAGAATGGGGAGGAGGCGTCAAACATGACTCAGCTTTTGAGCTTGGGTGGGTGAGAGAATACTGATGCCATGGGCAGAGAAATGGAAACTGGGAGGCTCAATTTCAGGCATGTTTAGTTTGAGATGATGACAGGGCACCCACATGGAAACATCTAGTTGGCCATGGAAACCTAGAGGTCAATTCTAGTAGCGAGGGCAGGAGAGAATGTGATATCCAGGGGACAGAGGGAAATCGCCTGCATAGAACTGACACTTGAGCCCATGAGCATGGATGAGTTCTCTGAGAGAGGGAAGAGAGACAGGAAGGGGGTGCAAAGTCAGGACCAAAAATGGCCTTGGGTGGAAGACCTGCAATTGAGAGAGGCGGGTGTCAGAGTGGCAGGAGAGTCAAGGTAGAGCAGTGTCTGGGAGGCTCCCAAGAACTTCAAAAGTGCTATGAGTGGTGTGACGCTGCCAAGATGTCAAAAAATATATATCATTAGGAGGAGATGGAAACACCATAGGATGGCATTTCTGTCCCCTAATTCTCTCCCTGTTTTGTAGTTCTCTCTGGCATCCCCAGCTGTCATAGTAAATAACTACCAGGGCTACACCCATCAATGAGGGCCATACTGATTCATTCTTTATTGACTCAGGTGTGGCAACATTTACCTACCTTCAAACTCAGACAAACTCACTAGTAGTGTGAAGGCTTAAAGGAGCTAATTTACCAAGAGACTCAAGTAAACAAAG